GCCAGAGTGTGTGAGGACGGGAAGCAGGTGGCCAGGTGGAGGCAGGTGAGGCAGTGTGGGCAAGAACAGGAGAAACAGGCGCTGGGTCTGGCCATGAACCCTGCCCTGGCCTAGGCTGCTGTGAGTAGATTTTGGTTTCTTGCTGCCCAAAGGCCAGTGAGGTGCCTCCCCCCGGGGCCCTGGGGGATCCATTTGTCTGCCTTCCTGAGCTGAGCATGAGGCCTCTTGCAAACAGACTGTGTGTCCTGGATGCCGGAGGCCATCACCTGCACCCTGCTGAGACCCAGCACTTGTAGGGACTCAGTGGTGTGGATGGCCACACAGAAGCCTGGCCCCAAAGACCTGGCGTGTCCCTCTGTCTCTGCTTATGCTCGGTGCCCTGCGGGCATCCTCATTCCATCTTCCCGGGGCAAGCCACGGAGGGAGGCGGTGTCCCCCTTCTGGGGGTGCTGGGTAACTGGCTGAAGGCCACATGGTCAGGCAGTGGCAGAGCCAGAATCTGAATCTAGCTCTTCAAACTCCACGTTGAGTGTGCTTTGTGGGTTTCTCGTGGAATTCTCTGAGCTGCTTTCCCTTTCTCCCGAGAGCTGCCAGAGGTGGGTGTCCTGGGCTAGAGGCACGGACACCTTGGGGGCTCTCATGGTCGTCATGAGAGCTGAGCTAAAGGTGGCCCCATTCTGAGTCTGGCATAAACAGGACCGGAGGCAGTGACAGCTCAGACTCTGACGTCTAGCCCAAAAATGCAAAGGTCACTTCTAAAGGAGGCAGAGAGCTTTGACAGTGAAACCTGAACTGACGGGGCTTCACAAGGAGCCCTGGGCCGTGTCCTGCGGGCCTTTGGTATCTTCCCCGGCTTTCGGAGGGGCATCTTGCACGCAGGTGAACAGTCAGGGGGGGGGCCTGAAACCGTGGGGGCCACATGTCCTCCTGAGCAGCCGCGCAGCCCGCCGGCTCTGAGCCCTGCGCACATGAAAGCGCACCCCTGCATTCCTTGCTGGCGGCCTGTTGTAGCACACGTGTTTCACGTGCTTTCGTGGTGACGGGGGTTTTCGCCTGCAAGGAGCATTCCTGAGGGCTGTTCCCAGAGAAGGGCAGGGTTTGCTTTGCCCTCCTGAACTCCGCTGGCTTGTACCCAGGTCTCTCAACTCAATGGGGGCAGAGAAGCCCACCAGTGCTTTCTGGAGGGCTGGGAGGCCCGGTGGTGGCTCTCGGCTGGCCCTGCCAGCATCTGCGATGAGCGGGGGAGGACGCTGGGGCCCGGAGCCTCCTCCGAGGGACTCTGACCTCACTCAGGTAGCACCACAGCAGCAAACCGAGAAAAGGTTAAAACATACGTTTATTTAACAAATTATATTAAGACAGACAATCACACAGTGAAACTTCCCTTTGCCAAATACAAGAGTCACCTCAAATAAATACGGTAAGGACATCGTTCCTAGGGCGAGTGCACAGTGGCCTGGCCCCGGCCCCGTGCGGCCCCAGGGCAGCTCCCATGCCTTCTGCCGGGAGAACAGAAGCCCTGTCTTGGGGGCAACGGCCACTCCCGGGCGGCATTCACAAGGGGCGAAGAAAGAGGGGCTGACCCAGGGGTGCCAGCCTGCTTGGGTGGGGTGGGGGCCCGGCCACCTCCTCCAGGTCCCAAGGGCACGGCGGACGGTGAACCGAGTCAGATGAGCTCGGCTTCTGGCCCCCACAGGCATGCACCTGCTTGGCCCTCAGGCTCCCGGGTGTCCGGGGGCCCTGGTCGGGGTGGAGCGAGCGGGCAAGCGGGCTCCTGCCCCATGCTGAGCACCATGGCGCCGTGCAGCGGCGGCTGATCATGCTAGAACCAGCGTGGCTGGTGGTGCTGGGAAGTCTTTACTGGACATGTGCTTGTGACGGGCCTGCTGGTGGGGCGGCTGCGAGACGAGACTCGGCTCCAGATTCCGGCTCTGCCCCGTGCCTGCCCCGTGCCCGAAGCGGACAGGCCTCCGCTGCTTCAGCTGCCACAAGGAGCAACAAACATCCGCTTCTGGGTGTGTGTTTTTTAAGGGGGAACAATAGGAGAAAATGTGCTTAAAGTGCCGGCCTAGGGCCTGGCAAGGAGCAGGGGCTTCGGTGTGGGTGAGTCCTTGCTGTCGCCTGCCCCGGGAGGGTGTCCCGGACACCGGACAGGGGCGTGTCGGGGGCGGCAGTCTGGACTTCCAGCGAGGGAGGCGGCCGGGGCAGGTGGGGGGTCGGGACGCCTGTTGCCTCCGCCACCGGGGCTCCCAGCCCCCCAAGCGGAAGAGGGTTGTGGCCCAGATTAGTTCCTGGACCCGGGGTGGGGAAAAAAGCCTTGAAACAAATTTGTGAGTGGACATGAAGCCAACAACTTACTCCTTGTTACCTTTGTGCCATTTCCAAGGGCTTTGGAGAGAGACTGAATTTTCAGAGGGAAAAGGAAAGACAACAGGGAAGCTGTGCTCTGGTTAGTCTTTTTGAGGGGGGGGACGGCAGCAGGGAGTGCTTGGGGGGCCGAGGGCCAGGCTGCTGCCCTTCCCAAGAACCCTCGTCCTCCCCTCCCCACGGGACCCCGGGGCTGGTGCAGAAATGCTCCCAGGCACAAGCCAGGGGTCCGGGCTGTCCTGCAGTCCACACAAGCGCCCACGTGTCCCCCCCAGCCTACTGTCACACGCTGGCTTTGCCCACCCCCCCCCCCGCCCCAAAGGCCAGGAAAGAGGGCAAGGAGCAGCCTGCAATCTACCTCGGTCACTGTCTAACTTGTCTAAGGGTGGCTCAGAGGTACAAACAGTCACTGTCACACGTAGCTTCTGTCTACGATGTGGTGGAGGTGGCACAGCCTATCCAAGCCCAGCTGCTCTGTCCGCCTCCTGGTGGCCTCCGGCCTGGCCTTGCTCTTGGTCCATCCCCTATCTGCAGGACGGCCTGGGGGCTCGGGAGGTTGCGCACCCTCCTCCTCCCCGGACAGCCACCCTCCCGGCCCGGCTCCGCCTTCGTGCGCCTGGACTCGCGGGATCCCGCGTGCACGTCTCTGGACACCTCTGCTAAAATGCCCCGTTGTTAGACAAGGGCCATCAGGCGCTGTCAGATGACGATCTCACAATCAGGCCGTGAGCAAAGTGCACAAACCAAGTGAAGAGGAGTGATCAGAGTTGCCCCTCTCTGTGGGGCTTCAGGTCACATGGGTCACTTGGTTCTGGACCAGCCACCCATCCAAAAAGCAGCAGTAGACCCGGGTCCTCTGGGCCCCACGGGGCTCCAATTCCCCAGAAAGACGACTAGCTTATTTCAGTGGGGACGTCTGAGACCAGTTCAAGAGCTCTCTCCTCTCCTGGTTAAGCACCAATCCCCAAGGGTCCTCCGATGGACTGCTGGCACCAGCCCGTGGCCCCCTGGGGGTTCCACCCACTACCTGCATTTTCCTGCCACTCTGCTGTGTGGGAGGCCCAGGAAGGCCGGCCCCACCAGGGACGTCCTCAGATCCGGGTGAAGGCAGGGAGAGGCGACCACCTCCCTAATGCACAGAGATCAGGAGGTATCGAATGATCCACGGGCGACCCAGGTGGGCGGGTGGAGCTGCTGGAGATGGCGGGGCCCATGAAGGTACATGAGGTATTTTTGTCCGCCCTACTTCTTAGCCAGCGGCCACCCTCCTCACAGTGTTGGCCTGTTGTGCCCCGGCCAACACGAGCCATCCCAGGAGCCCCAGGGAGGTGGGGTCCATCCCCGGCCATGGTTCTCCTGGGCTCCCTTCGTGGTGGGGGACCCTTCCCATTCTCCATGCCCCCCCCTCCAGCTTCCAGACACATGTCCAAAGCTCCCACCATCTGGGGACCCCCCAAGAGGGGAGAGACCAACATTCTGTGGAACTAATTCAAGACCAATCCTGAGAGCTAGACCAGGCAGGCCACTGGGGGGAGGGCCCGAGCCCCCAGGGACGGCAGCAGCCCTGTTCTCATGGCAAACATGCGTGGAGCTGAACTCGGCAGCCGGCAGGGTGAGAAGTGCCTGTGCGTCCACTGGCTGGTCGTGGCAGACATGTCCACGCTGGCCCAGTTCGGTGGCCTGGCTCATGTGGACTTCCTGAAACAACTGTTGCTGTTTGCGGAGCGCATCATGATGCAGCCGGGCTCTGAGGAGCGGGCTAACCCCGTCCCCGCGTCCCTCTGGGGCTGGGCACTGGCTGAGTGTGTTCTCACCCGCGGCCGGCGGCGGGCCCGTCCCTGGGCCAGGACACTGAGGCGGCTGGCACGGCAGTTGGCACGTGGGCATTGCAGAGATGAGAGCCCTTTGGGAGGAACGGGGGTGTGTGTGTGGGGGGAGCACAGTGTCCTGGGCAGCGAGACTCGCCTCCAAGCAAGCACCAGGTCCCTCCGCCTTCTCGCCCAGAAGGCAAGTCCCCTGTGTGGGCAGCCGGGCGGCTGTTCCCCCACCTCAGCGGGGCCACCACTGGGGCAGGGACCCAGGCTCGGGGCCACTTGGGGACGATGGGCTTCTTCCTCCTGTGTGTCGTCTGCGTCGCTGTGAAATGCGCAGGGCGCTTGCTGCTGTTGGCGTGAGGGACTTGTTCCACGGCAGCCCCGGGTCTGGGGCCCGCGGTGAGGCCTGGAGGGGGCTGTGCACAGCTGCCACCCTCCCCGGGGCTTCCAGAAGGAAACGGATAGCGTCGTGGCAGGCAACAGTCAGGAGGAAAGGGGGCCCGAGGCATCACTAGGCAGCTCCAGCAAGTGTGCGGGGCCCTCAGGGGTGACTCCCGTGGTGGGTAGGGTTGTTCGTGGGAGGGTTGGTCGCCACACAGACACGTTAGGAGCTGCTGGTCACTACAGCAAACACAGGTTAGTCCAGATTATGAACAGTGTCTCCAGGGAGGCGGGGGTGTCCCGTCAGGCAAGCGGAGGCCACAGCCCAGCTGCCCAGGGTCTCCCCGATGAGCCCCGCGGTGGGCGGGCAAGGAGGGCCTGGGCGAGGGAGGGGCGCTCAGTAGTCTGGGCAGCAGCGTCTTCTCCACACGGGGCCAGGGTGGTGGCCGGGCCCTCAGGACTGGGGGATCTGCTGACACCGAGTGGGGCTGGGCGGGAGCCGGGCAGCAGCGCTCTGTTCCGTGCGGAAGCTGTATTCATACTGGAGGGGAGAGAGGACAGAGCAGCAGAGTCAGTGGGTGAGAACAACAGAGAGCAGCAGTCCCAGGCCTCAGGCCCGGCGGGGGCTCTGGTGCCACCTTGCCGAGTGCGCGCGCACAGAAATGGGTGCCCTCTGGGTGCGGCGTGGGGGGGGGTTGTAGAGACACACCCCTGCGGCTGCAGGTGGCCCCCCAGTTTGTGATGAGGGATTCCATTTACAGTCCCTGCTCGGCTAACTGTTGAGGGACCGTGGTGCCCGAAGCCACGAGCTGACCAGGGGCCAGGCTGCCTGCCGGGAGAGGGGTCGCAGGCAAGGTAAAGGACTGCTCTGGAACTCCATCCCCCGCCTGACCCGAGGCCAGCCACCGCCACCAGGCCCAGGGGACCCTTGGACTCGGTGCCTCCTGGCATGCCTGCTGACACGCTAGGTGACCCCGGGGGGGTGGGGGGGCAGCACCCCACACGTGCTTGTACTCTCCTGAGTTCCAGCGCCGCTCCCTGAAGGGGTGTGGCTGTCCTCAACTGATGAGGGCCCGAGGCTCCAAGAGGGCAGCACCCCACACCAGCCACCCAGCCTGGGCCAGGGCGGGCCCTGGAGGGGCACGCCTGTCCCCTGTCCCACCTCATGCCGAAGACTGAAGCATACCTGACTCTAGGTCATGGAAATGTGTAAAGGTAGGTTCCGAGTCTGATGGAAATTCAAAGGCAAGTACTTCTGTTGGGGAAGGGGGACCGCCTGCGGCTTGCCCCGAGGGCCAGGTGTCCAAATGTGGGGCTGGTGGGCCGGGCGGAAGAGCAGGCACAGGCGAGGGGGGCCTGCAGCAGAGCTGGGCTGTGGGGTCGGGGGCAGGGCCTGGCACACTATATGCCACAGCAGCCGTGTGGTCCCAGGGCTTTAGGAACGAGAAGCTTAGATGAGGTCGATGGTGGTTAAACATTTTAAATCCTATCTCAAGACTTTTTAGCAGTAGAATTGCCCTAAAAAGGGCCCTCCCTGTAAGAGCAAAGTGGAGCTGCCCTGATTGAGGAAGCTATTTCCTCAGGGACACGGGGCGGGGGTGGGGAGAGGGTGACAGGAAGCCTGGCTGCCTCCCCCTCCCCGCCCCCAGGGACGTCACGTCGCCTGCCACAGAACAGCTAAGCGCTGAGGGCTTTAGCGGCCGGTCAGGAATGAGGGGCAGCTACCGCCCTTTGAGGGTTTTCCCCTCAAGTGGAAATGGTGAGGAGGCAGCCAGCGGACCCCGCGGCCCAGCACTGTGTCCTCAGCTGCCCCTGCCCGAGGGCCCCACAGGGCTGGCCCAGCACAGACTGGGGCTGAGCCCCATCTTGTCCCTGTGTGAACCACAGGCGCGAAAAGCCTCAAGCGGCCCCTGAGCCAAAGGGCCCCGCGACGCAGACAGGGCGGTGGTGCCTACAGACGTCGTCTATCACCAGAAGGGGCGGGAGGGAAGGACTTGACTTTGGAGGGTGACCTCAGGCAGGTCTTTGCTCCTCTCTGAACCTCTGAGAGCTCCTTTCTGAACCGGGGCCGCGGGCAGAAGTAACAAGTGTTGGGGAGGATGTGGGGAAAGGGGGACCCTTGGCCCTGCTGGGAATGCAAACGGGTGCAGCCGGCGTGAAACACGGCATGGAGGGGCCCCACAAAATCAGAGCTAGAACTCCCCCCTAGGACTCAGCAATTCCTCTTCTGGGACTTTATCCAAACAAAACAAAAACACTAACTCAAAAAGATATCTGCAGCCCCACGTTCACCGCGGCAGTATCGCCAACAGCCGAGACGCGGGAACACCCTAGGTGTCGGACGACAGGTGAAGGGATGAAGACGCGGCGTAGAGATGCAGTGGGACTCAGCCCTAAAAAAAGAAATCTTGGGCGCCTGGGTGGCTCAGTGGGTTAAGCGACTACCTTCGGCTCAGGTCATGATCCTGGAGTCCCGGGATCGAGTCCCGCATCGGGCTCCCTGCTCAGCAGGGAGTCTGCTTCTCTCTCTGACCCTCCCCCCTCTCATGTGCTCTCTCTCTCTCTCTCTCTCTCTCTCTCAAATAAATAAAAATCTTTAAAAAAAAAAAAAATCTTGCCATTTGCAATAGCATGGATGGACCTTGAAGGCATCATGTGAAGCACAATAAGTCCAAGACAAAGACCATGTGCCCTCACTTATATGTGGAATCTAACCCCCCCCCATACTTACAGGTACAGAGAACAGACTGGGGGTTGCCGGGGGGGGGGGGTCGAAGGTACAGATTCCAGTTGTAAAATGAGTCCGGGGGATGCCACATACAGCAGGCTGACAATCGTTAATACTGCAGTGCATCTTGGGAAGCTGCTAAGAGTAAATCTTAAAGGTTAAAAATTTTGTAACCATGGTGACAGATGTTAACTAGACATGTTATGATCATTTTGCAACATATACAAATATGGATTCATTATATTGTACACCTGAAACTAATGTTCTCTGTCAATTATACCTCAATAAAAAAGTGGGATCACAATCTGCTCCCAGGGCTGGCTGTGGGGATGGGGTGAGCTATCGCAGGTTAAGACCCTGCACACTGCTGTCACCAGACACATTTGCTGGCTACTTAGGAAAATCTAACAAAGCAGCTCCAAGCCTGCTCCCCGATGACCAGGGCACGGGCCACACGGCTGGACTCCAGCTCCAGGAGGCTGGCCCAGTGCAGCAGCCCCAAAGGAGGAGACCTCCGGGCAAAGTCTGGGACGATACCGCCACCTGGTGGCTGCTTGGGTGCATCACGGCAGGAAAGGTTCCCTGGGCTCCATTAGCACCCACCACATTCTTCACCCTGTGCTAGGCCCCAGGGTCGGGCAAGAGCCCCACGAGGGCAGCAGGGCAGGGGCACGTCAGCACTGCTAACCCAACTGGGCAACACAGGAGGAAGGGTGGGTTGGGGGAGAACATGAGTGCATTTCTGCCTGTGGCTCTGGGGTAGCTGCCTGGCTGGGGAGAGATGGAACCAGGGACAAAAGGTTGGGAACCGGAAGCACTGGAGATGCAGTGGTGAGGGGAAGGGTAGCTGGAGTGATGATGGAGAGAGGTTTTAGGAGATGCACACAGGCTCAGAGGGTGAGGACAGGCCTGGCACTTGGGGTGGAGGACCTGGAGGAATGGGCCAGGGAGGAGAGCAGAGGGCGGGCACAGGCTCGGGAGACGGTCATTAACCACCCCCCCCACCCCCCCCCGTGGCCTCAGCGGGAGCAGCTCTTGGTTGGCGAAGGCTGGAGAGCTGCCAGTGTGGTGGGTGCGGCCGCACCTCAGGGGTGGGGAGGGGGGCACCCAGGGCAAGTGCTGGAGCAGGTTGATCCACCTTTACTGCGCAAAAGTCCCTGGAGGTCCGGGTAAAATGCAGATTCTCAGAAGGCCTGGGTTGGGGCCCAGGATTCTGCATTTCCAACCAACTCCCAGGTGACCTGCTGCTGGTGTTTCTGGGGACAAGTTCAGACAATTCTGTGGCCCAAACAAGGGGACAGAGGAGCGGATGTGGGTGGGAGTGGGCAGAAAGCAGAGGGCTTAGAGACATTAGGACTGGGCTGGAGGGAGGTGGCGGGGGGTGGGGGTGGGGGGAGGAGGCTGGCGGCTTTACTTCGGCTGCCTTGAGGCCACGCCTGGGGGCAGCAGACAGAAGGCACCTCTCAAATGAAGCACCGAGAAGTCCCGAGTGTGCTGCCTTTTCCGGATTCACAGCCTGCGCCCGCCCCTCCCCCGTCCAGAGGGCCAGGACTCAGCGCAGTGCACAGATTGCTGTCCCCCCACTCCTACCCTTAGGAGCGTTCCCTTTTTAGGTTATCTTGGCTGGAGAAAAGCGTTACCCTCCCATCCCCCAACCTCTTGTTTTCTCTAACTCCCCAAATGAAATTTCAACATATGTCCCCAGACATAATCCCCCTTAGGCTGCGGATAACCCTTCCCACAGACACTGTCTTCTGCTCGGGATTGCTGGCCCCAAAGTGTTTGCCCAAGAGACTAGGGCCGCTTCTGGAAGGCCTTTCACTCCCTTGGGCAAACACCGAGTACCTTTGAAGGTGGATTTGGGCCCGGATCTGTTTACTCAAGACATTAGTCTCCTGCATAAGGAAAACCTGCACTCGCGTACAAACAGCAAATCCTTTTTGAATTAAAAAAATTTTCAATTAAAAAGCATTTGGGTTCGCAGAGCAGAGCCCAGCTGAGCGGCGCCGGGCCATGGCGCCCTCTGGTGGACACCGGTCATCACAGCAGCCGGGCCTGGCGGTCTCTCCAGGAAAGAGATGTCACTGTCAGGAGCTCTCGGGAGCTTTCCTGGGCCCCAGGGACCACAGCGTGCCTCCGTCTGGGAGACCCTGCAACTGACGCATCGGGCCTCTCTAGCTACGGGGCGTGAGGCCCAGCGGGGCCATCATCCTGGTCAGTGGGACATGCAGACCCTGGCTTCCAGCTGCACGGTGGAGGCAAACTTGCCTCCACCCAGCCTCACTGGCACGAAGGGGGCCATCAAACCCTCGTCAACCCACAAAGGTGTATCACCTGAGACGATTCGCCTGAAAAACCCAGTCCTCCTGATGCATCAGAGTCAAGGGTTTTAACAAAGCCACAGGTGCCCAGGCCCCATCTGGGGTGGGGTGGTTCTGGTTCACCAGGTATAGCAGGGCGCCATTTTCCAAAACACCCTTCCTGGTTGGGCAAGGGAGAACCACTGCCTGGAAACTTTTACCAAATACAATACAGACGGTCCCCGATTTACGATGTTTCGACTTTACGACCCTGCAAAAGCGATAAACCAGAGTCTTGGAATTGGACACAGTCTTGCGATGCTCGGCGGCCGTAACCCCCAGGGAGCCACGCGACCACGAGGGTTCACGACGGATATGAAGGCCATGCTGTCCCCATACGACCGTCCTGTTTTCCACTTTCAGTACAGTATTCAATAAAGTACACGAGATAGCCAACATTTTGTGATAAAATAGGCTTTGTGTTGGATGCTTCTGCCCAACTGTGGGTTACTG